CCAGGGTCTAGTAACTTCTCTGTAGGGACTCTTAATCTAGCTCCGAAACAGCTCAGAGTCTTGTTTTAAGTTATAATTTTCTAGTAGTTAATAGTGATTATGAATAGAGTGAGTAGCCCCTGTTACGCCAAACCGTAGCTTGTCTATTTTCTTAAGTGTAATAAACATTTAACTGTTCTTGTGCGTTCTTGTTGTATATAAAATGATAATTTAATATTGTTATTAAATTATAGTTTATATACAATAAGTTCTCCTTGCTAGCTGACATAGCAATTTTCAATTAAGATTTTCATTATGTATTAGTGTTAGTGATTTTCCTTGCCCTGCAGGCATTATAATTTTGTTTATTTATGTATGCTGATGAGTTCTGGTTGATGCTAATTAATTGACCAATCAGCGTTCTCGGGGAGGATGCCCTGTTAGGGATCTGAAGGCCCCGCAGCATATAGTTTGAGTTTTTGGTGGAGGCATTTGTTTGCGAAATTTGTGCATTCCCACCCACCGTCCCCGGCTACATCATTGGTTTTATTTTATACTCATGTATTTTTTGTTTTTGTTTCATGTGCAACAGTTATAAGATAACCATATTTTTATGTATAATGGGCTACTCACTCTTAGTAACTTAAGGATCTTCTGCATTTATCAGTTTCTTATTAATATTTGTTTTTACCTGGGCGTTATCACTCTGTTAAACATGCGTTCATTTTGGCACTTAATTCTTGGGGAATTTTAACCCCAATGCATAATAATAGAATATTCCCAATTTGTTTCAGCTTCTCTCATATCGTTGAGGGTCTAGCTAACATTTTCAGCTTCTCTCATATCGTTGAGCTCTTAATTCTTGGGGAATTTTACCCCCAATTCATAATAATAGAATATTCCCAATTTGTTTCAGCTTCTCTCATATCGTTGAGGGTCTAGCTAACATTTTCAGCTTCTCTCATATCGTTGAGGGTCTAGCTGGTGGTGAATATTCTATTTATAATGCTGTTTTTCTAGGGCCACTTGCAGAGTCTAGTAGCTTCTCTGGTATCGTCCAGGGTCTAGTAACTTCTCTGTAGGGACTCTTAATCTAGCTCCGAAACAGCTCAGAGTCTTGTTTTAAGTTATAATTTTCTAGTAGTTAATAGTGATTATGAATAGAGTGAGTAGCCCCTGTTACGCCAAACCGTAGCTTGTCTATTTTCTTTAGTGTAATAAACATTTAACTGTTCTTGTGCGTTCTTGTTGTATATAAAATGATAATTTAATATTGTTATTAAATTATAGTTTATATACAATAAGTTCTCCTTGCTAGCTGACATAGCAATTTTCAATTAAGATTTTCATTATGTATTAGTGTTAGTGATTTTCCTTGCCCTGCAGGCATTATAATTTTGTTTATTTATGTATGCTGATGAGTTCTGGTTGATGCTAATTAATTGACCAATCAGCGTTCTCGGGGAGGATGCCCTGTTAGGGATCTGAAGGCCCCGCAGCATATAGTTTGAGTTTTTGGTGGAGGCATTTGTTTGCGAAATTTGTGCATTCCCACCCACCGTCCCCGGCTACATCATTGGTTTTATTTTATACTCATGTATTTTTTGTTTTTGTTTCATGTGCAACAGTTATAAGATAACCATATTTTTATGTATAATGGGCTACTCACTCTTAGTAACTTAAGGATCTTCTGCATTTATCAGTTTCTTATTAATATTTGTTTTTACCTGGGCGTTATCACTCTGTTAAACATGCGTTCATTTTGGCACTTAATTCTTGGGGAATTTTAACCCCAATGCATAATAATAGAATATTCCCAATTTGTTTCAGCTTCTCTCATATCGTTGAGGGTCTAGCTAACATTTTCAGCTTCTCTCATATCGTTGAGGGTCTAGCTGGTGGTGAATATTCTATTTATAATGCTGTTTTTCTAGGGCCACTTGCAGAGTCTAGTAGCTTCTCTGGTATCGTCCAGGGTCTAGTAACTTCTCTGTAGGGACTCTTAATCTAGCTCCGAAACAGCTCAGAGTCTTGTTTTAAGTTATAATTTTCTAGTAGTTAATAGTGATTATGAATAGAGTGAGTAGCCCCTGTTACGCCAAACCGTAGCTTGTCTATTTTCTTTAGTGTAATAAACATTTAACTGTTCTTGTGCGTTCTTGTTGTATATAAAATGATAATTTAATATTGTTATTAAATTATAGTTTATATACAATAAGTTCTCCTTGCTAGCTGACATAGCAATTTTCAATTAAGATTTTCATTATGTATTAGTGTTAGTGATTTTCCTTGCCCTGCAGGCATTATAATTTTGTTTATTTATGTATGCTGATGAGTTCTGGTTGATGCTAATTAATTGACCAATCAGCGTTCTCGGGGAGGATGCCCTGTTAGGGATCTGAAGGCCCCGCAGCATATAGTTTGAGTTTTTGGTGGAGGCATTTGTTTGCGAAATTTGTGCATTCCCACCCACCGTCCCCGGCTACATCATTGGTTTTATTTTATACTCATGTATTTTTTGTTTTTGTTTCATGTGCAACAGTTATAAGATAACCATATTTTTATGTATAATGGGCTACTCACTCTTAGTAACTTAAGGATCTTCTGCATTTATCAGTTTCTTATTAATATTTGTTTTTACCTGGGCGTTATCACTCTGTTAAACATGCGTTCATTTTGGCACTTAATTCTTGGGGAATTTTAACCCCAATGCATAATAATAGAATATTCCCAATTTGTTTCAGCTTCTCTCATATCGTTGAGGGTCTAGCTAACATTTTCAGCTTCTCTCATATCGTTGAGCTCTTAATTCTTGGGGAATTTTACCCCCAATTCATAATAATAGAATATTCCCAATTTGTTTCAGCTTCTCTCATATCGTTGAGGGTCTAGCTAACATTTTCAGCTTCTCTCATATCGTTGAGGGTCTAGCTGGTGGTGAATATTCTATTTATAATGCTGTTTTTCTAGGGCCACTTGCAGAGTCTAGTAGCTTCTCTGGTATCGTCCAGGGTCTAGTAACTTCTCTGTAGGGACTCTTAATCTAGCTCCGAAACAGCTCAGAGTCTTGTTTTAAGTTATAATTTTCTAGTAGTTAATAGTGATTATGAATAGAGTGAGTAGCCCCTGTTACGCCAAACCGTAGCTTGTCTATTTTCTTTAGTGTAATAAACATTTAACTGTTCTTGTGCGTTCTTGTTGTATATAAAATGATAATTTAATATTGTTATTAAATTATAGTTTATATACAATAAGTTCTCCTTGCTAGCTGACATAGCAATTTTCAATTAAGATTTTCATTATGTATTAGTGTTAGTGATTTTCCTTGCCCTGCAGGCATTATAATTTTGTTTATTTATGTATGCTGATGAGTTCTGGTTGATGCTAATTAATTGACCAATCAGCGTTCTCGGGGAGGATGCCCTGTTAGGGATCTGAAGGCCCCGCAGCATATAGTTTGAGTTTTTGGTGGAGGCATTTGTTTGCGAAATTTGTGCATTCCCACCCACCGTCCCCGGCTACACCATTGGTTTTATTTTATACTCATGTATTTTTTGTTTTTGTTTCATGTGCAACAGTTATAAGATAACCATATTTTTATGTATAATGGGCTACTCACTCTTAGTAACTTAAGGATCTTCTGCATTTATCAGTTTCTTATTAATATTTGTTTTTACCTGGGCGTTATCACTCTGTTAAACATGCGTTCATTTTGGCACTTAATTCTTGGGGAATTTTAACCCCAATGCATAATAATAGAATATTCCCAATTTGTTTCAGCTTCTCTCATATCGTTGAGGGTCTAGCTAACATTTTCAGCTTCTCTCATATCGTTGAGCTCTTAATTCTTGGGGAATTTTACCCCCAATTCATAATAATAGAATATTCCCAATTTGTTTCAGCTTCTCTCATATCGTTGAGGGTCTAGCTAACATTTTCAGCTTCTCTCATATCGTTGAGGGTCTAGCTGGTGGTGAATATTCTATTTATAATGCTGTTTTTCTAGGGCCACTTGCAGAGTCTAGTAGCTTCTCTGGTATCGTCCAGGGTCTAGTAACTTCTCTGTAGGGACTCTTAATCTAGCTCCGAAACAGCTCAGAGTCTTGTTTTAAGTTATAATTTTCTAGTAGTTAATAGTGATTATGAATAGAGTGAGTAGCCCCTGTTACGCCAAACCGTAGCTTGTCTATTTTCTTTAGTGTAATAAACATTTAACTGTTCTTGTGCGTTCTTGTTGTATATAAACTATTTCAGGTGCCTGAGTGATCATGTTGGTGCATCAAAACAGAAAATAAACACTGCATCTTGATCAGAAGTGTGTTCTATGGTAGAAACACTACAAACAATTAACTAAATCCAGTATGTGATGTTATGAATTTTGTATGCAATGCTTCATATCATAAGAATGCTGTTCATTTAATTGATTGTTAAACTATATTATAGACTTTATGTTATACATACAAACTCTAAACAGTAGTTTTACTTGTTTTGTCTCGGGAATTAAAATTTTCTTTGTAGTATAAAAAAAATACTGTTGCGATGGCAGTATTTGGCTGGTATGGAGAATAATTTGTTGTTGAGTTTGAACATGATGTTAATTAAAAACTATTGATGTTACACTGTCTTATTGTAGTGTGTTACATTTCTGTTTAACATTTGCAACATTCTAATCGACAATTCTACAACTAATTCACCCTGAAACTTGGCTTACCATAAAATTTCACTTAGGTTGGTATCCATGACCATTGCTAGGCTATGAAATGCCTAAATATTATAAATCTGGATGTTTTATAAATATCAGATATATGAGCATGTATATGGTATAAAATTATCTATGTCCAAAGTTGGGCCAAATTTTATCATTACTGGACTTTGTCAGAAAGCTCAGTAAGTTGGTTCTAATCCAGAGAGATAAATACAGTTGATGTAGGATAATTTCATTTACTTGGTTAAATAAATACAAATGGTTCCTGACAAAAAATGACAGGAATTATGTAACAACATTTACATTCAAAGTCTAAAGTAATTGCCAGCATAATTGGATTGTTCATATTTCACAAATGATTTTCAGGTGATATATCCAACAACAAGAAAAATAAACGATATACAAAATTCTGTGTTTATAAGGTTACAGAAGACCACAAAACATTTCAGTGATTCAGTTTTCAGTGAATAGGCTTTCTGATCTGATCATTATCCTCTGCAACAAAGTCCTGCTATGTTGTCACAGGCAGGTATGGAGTACCGATCAGTTCGTCATTGAAGGATAACTCCTGTGTCCATTCGTAAAGTTTCTCTGCCTCTTGTTCCCATTCCTCGCCTTGTTCTTCCTCTTCTCCTTCTTCCCCGGTGATTCCAAGCTTGTCTAAGTAATCATCTGGTTCCTCTGATAAAGCTGTTGGTTCTCGTGAGTCCAGGCGACTACCAGTCTGTAAGGATGGGAACTAGAAATCAGATCAGGTGCCTACAGATATTTCTATATAGTATTTACATGTATGACTGTTGCTCACAGACGGCTTTTTCATTTCCTGAAAATTAGATGAAATAGGAAACTGAGCATATTTCTGCAATGAAGAAAAATATGTTTCTGCTCAAAAAACTATCAAATTACATTCAAAGTTAAAAAGAAACAAAAGATTTCAAGACTTCAAAGACAACAACAGGTTGATAAAAGACATGTAAAAAGGGGTCTATGATGGTAAGATTACAGGAAAACACAATAAATAGACACAGAAACAAGTAAATACTTGTGGGTTTCCTTTCACAGGTTCCTAATTGTGAAAAGTAGCCATAACTATGAATCAGTAGTGAATAATTTGTCCACCATATACAAGAGTCACATGTATACAACACGAGCATTGAAATCTCAATATACTCACATCCTTTTTCAGATGCAAGACGAGATTGTATCATTCAAAATGCTAGATTCTGTGGCTCTTCTGGTACTGCTGACTACTTCATCACTTGAGAGGCCTTACTAGGCCAGGTTACATAAACCACACTTAGTATCCGAACAAATATTGCAGCTTCATTTCCTTAAGGACTAGCACAATACTTTAAAGGTACAGTGTTCATTTGATACTTCAAATTTACTTATTTTATACTTTAAAGGTACTTATTTAATACTTCAAATTTACTTATTTCATACTTTAAAGGTACTTATTTAATACTTCAAATTTACTTATTTTATACTTTAAAGGTACTTATTTAATACTTCAAATTTACTTATTTCATACTTTAAAGGTACTTATTTAATACTTCAAATTTACTTATTTCATACTTTAAAGGTACTTATTTAATACTTCAAATTTACTTATTTCATACTTTAAAGGTACTTATTTAATACTTCAAATTTACTTATTTCATACTTTAAAGGTACTTATTTAATACTTCAAATTTACTTATTTCATACTTTAAAGGTACTTATTTAATACTTCAAATTTACTTATTTCATACTTTAAAGGTACTTATTTAATACTTCACGCTGTTTACTTTATATTTTAAAAGACATTTATCTTATATACCTTAAATGTACTTATTTTACACCTTAAACACAAACACTGTACACTTATCTGATATTTGATTAGGACTTGGGTATGAAGTGTGAAGCAACTCAATACAAAATATTGTTGGTATTTTGTTATTTATGATTAAAATATGAATGTACATATAATGAGTAATGAATACATATATCGCTAAAGACATGATGAGAGTTGTCTCCCCTGAAAAAGGATACATAAAAAAAGCCTTACAAATCAAACAATGATGTATTTACATGGTTACAAAAAGAAATAATATTTGGTAAAATGTTGGGTACATATTGCATCATTTAACAAAGTCTGAGTGTGCGAGATATATAATGGCATCAGATGTTGTGAGAGTGTGAGACACATTAGATATCAGATGCTGTGTGAGTGTGTGAGACACATTAGATATCAGATGTTTTGTGAGTGTGTGAGACACAATAGACATCACATGTTGTTTGTCTGAGAGTGTGAGACACATTAGATATCAGATGTTGTGAGAGTATATGAGACACATTGGATATCAGATGTTGTCTGAGAGTGTGAGACACATTAGATATCAGATGTTGTCTGAGAGTGTGAGACACATTAGATATCAGATGTTGTGTGAGAGTGTGAGACACATTAGATATCAGATGTTGTCTGAGAGTGTGAGACACATTAGATATCAGATGTTGTGTGAGACACATTAGATATCAGATGTTGTGTGAGAGTGTGAGACACATTAAATATCAGATGTTGTGTGAGTGTGTGAGACACATTAGCTTAATCAGGCTCAGTTTACCTTTCTGGCCTTTGGTTAATGAAGTTTAGTGGTTCTCTTTACTTATCTGGTCTCTTGTTAACAAGGTTTAGCTGTACTGTTTACTTATCTGGCCTCTGGTTAACAAGGTTTAGCTGTACTGTTTACTTATCTGGCCTCTGGTTAACAAGGTTTAGCAGCACTGTTTACTTATCTGGTCTCTGGTTAACAAGGTTTAGCAGCACTGTTTACTTATCTGGTCTCTGGTTAACAAGGTTTAGCAGCACTGTTTACTTATCTGGTCTCTGGTTAACAAGGTTTAGCAGCACTGTTTACTTATCTGGTCTCTGGTTAACAAGGTTTAGCAGCACTGTTTACTTATCTGGTCTCTGGTTAACAAGGTTTAGCAGCACTGTTTACTTATCTGGCCTCTAGTTAACAAGGTTTAGCAGCACTGTTCACTTATCAGGTCTCTGGTTAACAAGGTTTAGCAGCACTGTTCACTTATCAGGTCTCTGGTTAACAAGGTTTAGCAGCACTGTTTACTTATCTGGCCTCTGGTTAACAAGGTTTAGCAGCACTGTTTACTTATCTGGTCTCTGGTTAACAAGGTTTAGCAGCACTGTTTACTTATCTGGTCTTTGGTTAACAAGGTTTAGCAGCACTGTTTACTTATCCGGTCTCTGGTTAACAAGGTTTAGCAGTATGTTTACTTATCTGGCCTCTAGTAAACAGAATGTAGTAGTAATGTTTATCTATCTGGTTAACAGTGTTAAACAGCATTGATGACCATCTTGACATAGATCAACAATATAAGTTTAGAAGTAGTGTGGACCTTGTCTAGCATTAAGTTATCAAAGTGAAGTCTTAGCATTCTGTAATACACAAAAATGGTTAAATTGTAATATAAAGATTGAAATATATTACCTTTGTTGGTGATTGTGAGAATACACTGAGTGTCTGCAAAGTGAAGTCTACCTTTACTACAATTGTAACAATAATATCTGATTGCATTGCTTTCAGGAAATCAAAAATAAAAATCAATTAAGAATTTGGCATTGCTATATAAAATGTTTCAATTCATACCAGGAATGCAGAAGAGCAGATGAACTTAATAACTTTCTCACAGAATATCAAGGTCACATTTTAGGGAAAAGATCACCTCTGTTGGTGTAGAAAGATTGTAACTGTACTGAAATGTTGATTTATATTCAATATATTTTGATAAATAGCTACTAATCGTTTAATTGTACAGGTGTTATTTCATTTTCAGAAAAAATTACCTTTGTTGGTGAAGAAAAATTGTAACTATCCTGAAATGGTAATTGATATATATCATATTTTGATAAACATTTTCTAATTATATAATTATACAGGTGTCAATCTATATTTGAATTTTAAAATTAATTTTTATCTATAGATATCAAATATTTATGATTTTCTAAAAGAACTTTTACTTTATATCAAAACTGATGACAAATGAAGAAAATAATAGAAAGACAAACAGCTGCATTACTGTGGTTTAAAATTATATTGTGACTGCAGACCAGTAATTGTATTACCTTGGGAGAATATGAAAACCCACTAATCTGAAAATTGAAAATATACAACTAATTGCAGGTTATTTTTTCTTTTTCAGATGTACTTTTACTTGAAAGAATTAAGATACATATTATTTTCTGACGATTTCTCATGTACCTAGATTGACTGCTCTAGACATGATGATTACCATTCAGTTTGTAACTGTGAAATGATAATTAAATTTAAACTTTAAGAAAATGTTCTTCATTGATGTTGATATAACTATAAAACAGTGGATATAATGTTCATGGGTTCAAAATGAAGGCAACGAAAAACAAAAACTTAAAATCTGGTTGAAAAAACTGTCCCTGTAAAATCATTGATACGGACAGAAACCATTTTATCAGGGGAAGTAACTCAGGTCAAATGTATGATGTCAGTAGTGCAACATTCCACTGCTATCAGGCTTCAGTAAACTCGAGTGTCAGTAAATCATGTTTTACAACAAGAATTTGATGTTTGTTAAGTCAGGTTTTAATAAAATTAACATATCTGTCAAGTGTCAGCTGAGTCAGGTGCCGGGAAAGCCAGTGTGGGTAAATTCAGGTCTTGAAAATGTTTGTTGTCTGTAAATTTTGAAATTAGGAAAGTCAGGTGTCAGAAAGCTAAGGTCAAGTGTTGTCAAATTAAATATTTATCAGTGTAAGGAACATCAGATGTCTGTAATATAATATATTTTCTAATAAAAATCACTTTCATGCATCTGTTATTCAAGTAAGAAATCTGCTGTTAAATCAACAAATTGATATATATCTGCATGTGATTTTCTTTTAATATATCACTAAGAGTTAATTTTTACACATTTCATATAAGCCTCATATTAAGTAGATTTTTTATATCAACCATAGTTAAATTTTATTTCTGTTAAAAGTATGTTAATCTTTTAACTTGATTTAACTTTCTCGTTCAGTTTATTTTCTGTACAGTCTAAGTTCTAACTTAACTTGTTAAAATGCTGTTATCATTAATTTCCTATTTTTCAACAATAAAATGGATTGTTAATTCTATAACTGGCCATGATTCCAAACCTTTCCTGGAGAAGAGAAAGCACTCAGCTGAAACACAAGAAAATGTAACTTGTTCATTGGTTCAATTTTAAGTGTTTTTGATATCAGTATACTTAGGTATTTTCTTTTTAACATCATATGTAGACAACTTATAGGATATTTCTTCTGGTCACTGATTTTTTAACAACCTACAGGCAGTCAAATCTTATTTACATCATACAGCTCAATATATTTTAAAAGTATACATAAAATTGATTCGTAAGTTGACCATAAACAATACTGTGCTTTTCTAGAAATCTGAATTGCATCCAGAAAGCACTCTGCCCTGCTAGAAACCAAATACCACCAGAGGGCACTCTGCCCTGCTAGAAACCAAATACCACCAGAGTGCCGGCACTCTGCCCTGCTAGAAACCAAATACAACCAGAGGGCACTCTACCCTGCTAGAAACCAAATACAACCAGAAGCTGCTCTGCTCTGCTAGAAACCAATTACTACAAGAGGGCACTCTGCCCTGCTAGAAACCAAATACCATCAGAAGGCACTCTGCCCTGCTAGAAACCAAATACTTTGATTAGGCATTTTGCAAGTCCTGAAAATAGATACCACAAGGAGACATGTCGAATGTTTTATTCTGAAAAATAACTACTAGCATAGGTCAGTTTGCTCTTCCTACAACCTATTTTACAAACACCACCTGGGGACACTCTGTCCAGCAAGAAAACCAAATACCACAAAAGATCACTATGTTTTGACTGACACTCTACCCAGCATCAAAACTGAATACCACCGGAGGCACATCTTACCTGTACTGGTGAGGGAGAGAGACTTATCTGTGGAAAAACCAATGTTACATAACTTGTAAGTTAAAACCCTTTTTAAATATTTCAAACTGGTAGGGAATAAGAAATATGAAAAATATGACATGGGTGTCTTTAAGTCAAGAGGATATAACAGTATACATCACTTCTTTTTAAAGCTAGAGTTTCATTTAGTGGATTTAAGAATGTACAATTTAAAACAAAAGTTTCAGTAATGAAACAATCCTAATTTTGTATATAATTTTTCATTAGTTGTATATAATTTGGATATGTGAATGGATGTTTAATCACAATTACTGAAAATTTTAAGCAGGCATTAATTTGTTATTTCATCATATTCTAAAATCCTATCTAAACATTTATGAGTGTCTGAATAGGCATTAGAGCCAGAAGATATTTAAATTTATAAATAAAGTATGAAATTATTTAATGGAGTTTATCAAAGAACAGATTATTTTGGTGTGATAAGGTTTAGGCATTAATGGTCATTGTGATATATTACATATATAATTAATATCATATTTGATGAAGTGAGTGAAATATTCACAGTAGCATGCAATGTGTACACTTTATCAACTAAAGGTTTTACTTAAGAGCATCAATCTTATTCCCCAAAAAAGTTAATGACTACATGGGGCAGTGTGCTTATTAGCTCAAATATGGTAAATCATTCATGTTTTATTAATGAAACACTGATAAAAACAAGCTTATTCAAGTTGAAAAATAAACATTATACAAAGTTAGAGAAATATCTATGATATCACAGTTCATTACCATTTCAGGTGAAGACATAGCACTGATCTAGAAAAAGTGAAAACTATTTAGAATTCAGGTAAATATAGTCAATGGTGCTTTGTACATTATTTTAGCTAATAAAAATACCTTGAAATGTAACAAATTATCTTACATAAAAAGAAAAATAATAAAAAAGAACTTCAAGTGAAATATAAGTATTACACAACCCTGATTACACCATGAATTGGTCCACATTTTTGATACAGTTCAATAAGGTTTTAGTGTTAAGCCAATACTGATATTCTAATTCTGATCAGTATGTTTTATAAATTTAGTTGCAATCGTTTCATACCTGGCCACAGGATGAAAACTGGCTCAGCTGAAATCAGACCAAATTTTTGTGTAATTATCAAACAAAATACAGACTCTGAAATAAATGTTTTGTTTTATTTACACTTAAATAGACAGTGTTAATTAATATAAGACTAATTTTTCTCTGTTATATTTACAAATATTTATTATCTATCAATTCACTATGTCTCTTCAGTCTAACAACCAACAAAAGCAAAATTGTAAAAATCTTGTTCTTTAATTGGTCAGTGATTTAGGTAATGTCAAAATTACATTTACCTTTCCCAGCGATGGAATTGTACATGAACTTATCTGAAATGAACATGCATCACTGATCATATACTGGTGACCATAGAATCGGCTGGATTATACCATAAAAACCATTACAATATCAAATATACTAAACACTGTAAACGTCACCATAGGTTTAAACATGTATCTAGTTAAAAAATAAATAAAGCAATTATAATTATGTAAAAAAAGTATAAAAAATATGGTAAAAGATTGAATTCTTAACCTTATTTTTTCATGATTTTTTGTTTTATTTTTTTGCTCTGGCACCAAAGTAATATGGTAAATCAATTTGTAGTTCAAATAAAATATTATAAGATTAAAGGTTTATCATATTAAGTTTAACTGTTCAAATGTCTTAAGTATTAAAGTAGATTTAAAAGTAGATGTGATTTTAATGATCTGACCAGTTACTATGTTGTACATATTGTACAATATATTTTGATAATTATTGGTAAATAGAAAAGAAATAAAATAAAAAAAAAAAACTGAAAACTTTACAAAATCCTCAAAACATGGTTTGAAGAATTAAGAGCAAATTTAACATTTATCTTCCAACATCATCTCAAGAATGATACCATTTCCAGATAATTTATTTGCTTGGAGCTTAAAATTTCAAAAGAAGTCCACTACATCAGAATGATTTTGTTTAACCTATTCCTCGCTAGACATTACCTAGTACAACATTGTGTAACTGGTACAGAACCCAATATTTTTGTATATTTAGTTTTTACATATTAGGTTAATTTTACCTGAGTGATAGTAAGTAATTATTTTCATAAATAACACAAACATTGGTTTTACTATCACTAGTATCACTTTTATAATTTTATAAGTGGCACGTTACATTTTGCAAGAGCGTCATTATTTCAATGAGTGGTACATTATTTCGTTGTGACTGTTATCATTTAAATAAGTGGTACTTGGGTTATTTTAGCTGACAATGTACAGTTTAAAGTCTTGATCATTCCTAGCAATTACTTAGTTGTGCATGCAGAGTTTAATAACTGACAACTATTTCTAAGATTATTTTGATAGAAATAGGCCTTTTTTTTGTCACTAATGATTAAGTTTTCTTGTTTTACTTTACAGCCATTTATCTATAGAGATTAAACTTTGCTGTTTTGTTAACATTTTAATGTCTGTGATCTAAGACACTTCATCACAAGCAATTTTTGCGTAGTTTGTTAATTAAATGATTGCCATATATTATCAGTCCTTATCAGCATTAATAAGCATCAGCTAAATTACCACAGCTGGGGATATCTGTAACGGTGATTTCACCACTGGTGGCGATGTTGCCACTTGTGGTGATGGTACCACAGGCAGTGGTATTGCCACTTGTGGTGATGGTACCACAGATGGAGGCTGAAACAGGAGACATAAACTTCACACATCATAAAAAATCTTACTGAACTATAAGTGAACCTGATGACTTTTGATTGGCTCCTAGAAATCAACGTCACTTCATTGTACGTACCTACAAATGATAACTATAATGACTACTGAAAAGAAGAAAATGAAGCTGGCCATTCTTAATATATAAAATGAAACGGTGTCTGAAAAATAAATAAATTAACACACTGATATGTTAGAACACATAATTGTATATTTCAGTAAATCAAGAAGTAAGTTTATGATAAAATGATTGATAACCATACTCATATCATTAACATACCTGTGTAGGTAAAAATTGTAACAGTTAAGGTTAAACCTGACAATACTTTAGTCTAATTAACAACATCTTCATCTTCAAGCCTTGGTGTTGGTATGTCAAGGTCAAGGTTTAAGGAAGGATACATCATGGTGTTGGTATGTCAAGGTCAAGGTTTAAGGAAGGATACATCATGGTGTTGATATGTCAAGGTGAATGTTAAATGAGTTGATATGTCAAGGTCAAGGTTTAAGGAAGGATACATCATGGTGTAGATATGTCAAGGTCAAGGTTTAAGGAAGGATACATCATGGTGTTGATATGTCAAGGTCAAGGTTTAAGGAAGGATACATCATGGTGTAGATATGTCAGGGCGAAAGTTCAATGAAGGATACATCATGGTATATCAAGGGTTTAAAGAAGGATATATCAAGGTGTAGGTATGTAAAAGTTAAATGAAAGACACATTGTGATACCCATAGATATGTCAAGGTGAAATGAAGTAGAAAACAGGATGTACTTATATCAAGGTCAATATTGATAGGGATTAAATTTCTGTGATAATAAACAGGATTTAAAGTGAACAAGGGATTACTGTAGGGTAATTAAGTAAAGTTTAAGGTTTAAGGAAGGGAGGTATTACGATTTAAGTACAAATGTCAAAGTTCAAGGTTTAAGGAAGGGAGGTATTACGATTTAAGCACAAATGTCAAAGTTCAAGGTTTAAGGAAGAGTGGTATTACAATTTAAGCACAAATGTCAAACCAATCTTCTTACCTCATAATAGAACTCTGATGGCTACGGCAAAATTAATTACAAGAGTTTTAAAAAATTACAAGATTAAAATCATACATAACATACAAAAACATGACATATTATCAGTGCTTTGGTATGAAGTCCTCATCTGAGCTTGAGTTAATACGAAATAAAGTTTGAGCTGATCTTGAAATGGAGTCAAAATGTTGGTAATATCTGCTGATCAATGACCAGAATATCATCATTTAAGTTTTGTTTAGATTTTATTCTTAGAAAAATGCTTGTCAAGCAAACTTGTATATGTGGTGTCAGTGCTAATGATGACTCACCTTATCCATCCCATACATCTTCCTCATTTTCATCGCTCTGAGCTTGGCTTGCCGAGACCGCCGACTAGATTGTTGACTGGCACCGCTAATGAGTCCCGACATCTTTGATTTTGGTGTTGGTAAGGGGGCATGGAGTATTACCGTCTCTGACCTGTACAGAAATATGCATATAAACACAGACATCCATACCACATAATGTTCATTTGTTTAATATGTAACACACAAATAAGACTGATACTTAAATGTTATTATTGATTACTGCAGTATATTCTGAATCTTATACTACGATCTCTGGCACAAAAATTCCAGTCCATATTCATTAAGCTTACACCAAGCTTGAAATAAATCATACCTATCAATATTGTGAAATTTGGTTTTAGAAAGTGCCTGGAATAAATTGGTGTTGTCTCCAAATACAATTTAACAAAGTAGTGATGTAACAGTACATGAAGTAAATGAACTTCAGTATGGATTGAATGCCAGGTAATTATGCAGGATGCAAGAGTTCACAATTTTGGTGATTCAGCAGTTTTAGGAGTGAAACTCTCCTGAGTTGTGAAAGATTCACAATAATTCAAAGTCTCTGTGACTCTACAGTTTGATAGATAAAACTTACCTCAGTTGTGATATGGCCCTAATATGCTGTATTTTGATCTCCTGTGATAGAGGGCGCTGTATAAGGATTGGAATCTCACCCTGGAGGCGTGGGCTGATTCGCTGGTTGTATAGAAAATCTACGATGTCATAAAATATTGTCCTCCTTGACAGATCTGTGAGGTCAAACCATAATGATTAGTTTAATTTATTATTCACTCTGCTGTATATAAAAGAAAAGAATTAGCTTTTACCCTGATAAAACAGATCACCTTTGACCAACATGTCAATAGAGGCCTCTTCCTTTAGCTCATTCTGTAGAGAACCAGAGGAGGATAAAACCAAATGTTCTTAGTTTGACCTAGTGGATGCATAATCTACCTTTATTTTAATCATTTTAATTATCTGCAATATTTTAATTAGGGATCACCTGTCATCCTATAATGACAAAAATATTGAATGTGTGGGTAGATATGTCCCAGAATAAAGGCGTGTACCCGCCACACCCATTACTTACCATCTAGTGTTAACTTTCTCCAGTAGTTCTCTTTACCTCCCATACTGGCGGGCGTTTCATCGGTATTTGCTAGGTACTGAAATAAAAAGATATCTAAATATATTTTCAATATATAACTTTCAATACGATTAATTGATTCAAACATTGCAGAAAGAAATAACTACAGTGAAAAAAGGAACTAGCACCCATTTATAACAAATGTAATTCTAAATTATACTGCCCTAACTCTTAACTGTTAAATTGGAAAATAAAAAAATTATTATTTTGTTTTCTCTTTTAGCAAAGTCAATAAATAATTTATATGTTAATTCAACATATTCGCTTAGATATCTGAGAATTGGTATATAAAGTTGTCATCAATATCACCTTTAGTTTTCTTAACTTTATTAAAGCTTAATTATCTGCTGTAAAGGCCTACTGTTAATAAAGAAATTAAATTAAAACCAAAATTTAATTAATGTGACAGATGAAGCTAGACATACAAGCAGTGTTTTTCCTGATCATTTTGGAAAATCACAACCTGAAGGAAATGTGGCATTAGTTATGTAGTGATAGTGAAAACCAGGGGAAAATTTGGACCACAGTAAGCTTCATCTCATGTTCTCAAATAAAAAACACCAAATTTAACCATTTTTAGAACTTAAATGACTTTATTGGAAAATATCAACTCTTACATTTGACCACAGGCAGGAAAAGACTGACTAGTAAGGCGATTTTTCAGTACACATGACATTCAATCTTTCAAAATGTGTCATACATTTATCATTTACCTGCATATAATCCTTCAGTGTTGTCACGTCTATTTCGTCTGTAATTTTATACTGTTGCTGGAAAATAGAGTCTCTCAACATCTGATCGTAGAACTGCCTGTTACCCATTAATCGCAGGGAATCCTCGGAGGCCTGGATACCACAAATAACATATCACTGTACCATAGACATCAAATGTATATCCAACATCAATATAAAAGTTAAAACTACAGCATTATATCTCAGACAGAGTCAGCTCAGCATTATATCTCAGACAGAGTCAGCTCAGTATTACATCTCAGACAGAGTTAGCTCAGCATTATATCTCAGACAGAGTCAGCTCAGCATTATATCTCAGACAGAGTTAGCTCAGCATTATATCTCAGTGTTAGCTCAGCATTATATCTCAGACAGAGTCAGCTCAGCATTATATCTCAGACAGAGTCAGCTCAGCATTATATCTCAGACAGAGTTAGCTCAGCATTATATCTCAAACAGAGTCAGCTCAGCATTATATCTCAGACAGAGTTAGCTCAGCATTGTATCTCAAACAGAGTCAGCTCAGCATTATATCTCAGAAAGAGTTAACTCAGCATTACATCTCAGACAGACTTAGCTCAGCATTACATCTCAGACAGAGTCAGCTCAGCATTATATCTCTGACAGAGTCAGCTCAGCATTATATCTCAGACAGAGTCAGCTCAGTATTATATCTCAGACAGAGTCAGCTCAGCATTATATCTCAAACAGAGTCAGCTCAGCATTATATCTCAGACAGAGTTAGCTCAGCATTGTATCTCAAACAGAGTCAGCTCAGCATTATATCTCAGAAAGAGTTAACTCAGCATTACATCTCAGACAGACTTAGCTCAGCATTACATCTCAGACAGAGTCAGCTCAGCATTATATCTCTGACAGAGTCAGCTCAGCATTATATCTCAGACAGAGTCAGCTCAGTATTATATCTCAGACAGAGTCAGCTCAGCATTATATCTCAGACAGAGTTAGCTCAGCATTATATCTTAGACAGAGTTAGCTCAGCATTATATCTCAGACAGAGTCAGCTCAGCATTATATCTCAGACAGAGTCAGCTCAGCATTATATCTCAGACAGAGTCAGCTCAGCATTATATCTCAGACAGAGTAAGCTCAGTATTATATCTCAGACAGAGTTAGCTCAGCATTATATCTCAGACAGAAATAGCTCAGCATTATATCTCAGACAGAAATAGCTCAGCATTATATCTCAGACAGAGTCAGCTCAGTATTATATCTCAGACAGAGTTAGCTCAGCATTGTCACTAAATATGATATAGATCTCCCAAGCAGGGATACAAACATCACCAATCAGACTGATATTGTATAAAACAATCAAACATGTCATTGTTTAATCATTGTAAAGTAAATAAGAAGAAATATTACATGCATCGTATGGTGCATCAGCAGAAAAAACTAACAAAGATATATCAGCTATGATGAAGTCAGTTCTAATGGTGTGATGATTTATCACATGAGGTGTAAACTTATGTAATTATTTACAGGTCAGTACTGTATATTACCGTAGGAATGCATATCAAATCATTGATATATCAAAAGATTGTACAAAAGACATACAACTGAATAGCACCATTCATTTCAGAGTTAGATTTAGATACAGTAGAGCCAGACAATGAATTACATTGTATCATAGAGTTGTCTCATCGTCCCAGGACTCCTCGGTGATACTAAGGCCTTGAACTGTTGTAACCTAGGGGACAATTTACAAAAATCAAAAGTGTTTGATGCAACCACAAGATGGAATGTTTAAAACCTTACCTCGGATGCTGGTTTGATGAGTTTGCGGCCACTCATATACTTCACACCTTTCCCAGCTGTGTGTATAAACACTTTAAAGAAAATCATCGGAGGAAATTCTCCACCACCGAATCTAAAGAAGAAAAATATTTTTTTCGATATATTAACAGACATGAAGGTGAGATATCTTATGTATGATCCAAATAAAAGAAGCAGATTTACACAAAGCTATGGAAGTTAAGATAAACATATGATGTAAGAAGTCCTGGGAATTAACATACAAAATCTGATTCACAGGCAAAGTTGACCAAAGATAAGTAGATTGTATTGGTGATTTTGTTTAAAACAGACAAAGAAGATAAGTAACCAATCATAACAGAGAACAGAGAATAGTATGGACATGGGGAGATTAAGGATGGATAATTAACTATAACAATAAATAACTAGGACAGCGGTTTTCTATTTTTACAACAGAAATAAAAGGGAGGGAGAAATTTGCTTATGAGATAAGAATATTATCAATATTCAAATAGGCTAAATTTTAAATAATTCATTATTTACCTGAATCGAACTCGTACTTGAACACTTTTGTCACTCAACAATTCAGCTTCTTTTGGACAAACTTTCCTCAATATTTCCTTTGATAGTGAATTTTCCTGAAAAACCAATGACATTACTTTAAAGCAAAGTATTATAGTCATATTTTACGAACACTCAGTTCTAAATATAATAAAAATTGCTGAAAGATGATTGGTTCTAATTGGGCTATTAAATTATCTTATATATGAAATAAAATACTTACTGCTGCACACACAGCATGCTTTAGAAGTCGAAACATCTGTTTGTCTCTGTATGCAATCCATGCTCTTTCTATAATAGTAGCTGCTGCTTGTCGGATCAGTCTGGAAGAAAACATTGTACTCAATGTAAATAAGTTTAAAATTTATTCCTAAAGATAAAATCTTACAGCAACTGTTGAGACAATACTCTAAGAAATTTCGAAAACTGAGGAGAATGTGCAGTTCAAACGAAAAGTATAAAATGAGAAATTCTTGGTAAGGATATTCTTTATTGACTATATCAATAAACTGGCTCAGTAGGACTACGTAAGTATTACAACAAGCTTCTCATACTATTCTCATTTACAATAAAAAAACATTTCACTGCACTACTCCAGACATGTGAGAAGCTTACTACAGTAGCATTGTTCCACAAATATAGAGGAACTTCACCAAAAGAGCACTGCTCCAGACATAAAGGAGAGCTCTACCACAGGAGTACTGCTCCACACATACAGAGAAGTTTAACTTCAGTAGCACTATTCCACATATAAAGAGAAGCTTTACTAAAAGAGTACTGTTCTACATATATAAAGGAGCTTTAATAAAAGAGTACTGTTTCACACATTTAAAAGAGCTCATCCACAGGAGCACTGTTCCACATATAAAGTTCTACCACCGAAGCACTACTCCAAACATACTGAGAATCTTTACTACTGGAGTACTTCTTTGCTCTGTTCCACACATATAGAAGATCTATTTTTACAGGAGCACTACTCAAGACATATAGAAAAGCTTACTACTTATCTCCAATAGAAGTAATGCTCCATACAAATAGAGCAGTTCTACTACAGGAGTACTACTCCACACAAATAGAGCAGTTCTACTACAGGAGTACTACTCCACACAAATAGAGCAGTTCTACTACAGGAGTACTACTCCACACAAATAGAGCCATTCTACTACAGGAGTACAACTCCACACAAATAGAGCCATTCTACTACAGGAGTACTACTCCACACAAATAGAGCAGTTCTACTTCAGGAGTACTACTCCACACAAATAGAGCCATTCTACTACAGGAGTACTACTCCACACAAATAGAGCAGTTCTACTTCAGGAGTACTGCTCCACACAAATAGAGCAGTTCTTCTACAGGAGCACACCTCCACACAAATAGAGAAATAATAAGAAGGACATGTGATCTTTGAAATGTCATCGATAAAGTGACAATGCCATGATTTTTAGACATAAACATTCAGTGATGGTGGTATAGACAAATTGTTCTTGCTTGCCCTCTAGCTTGAAACTGTGACCTCCTCATGTCCAATATTAAAAGCCCCAAAAATTATTATACAACCTTCTATACATCAAAGAATACCAATGAGTAATCATTAAGGAACACCCTGTAAATAACCCTCAAGGAATACCTTGGGAGTTAACATGTAGGTGTACTCCAGAATTAAACCTTAAGGAATAAACATCAAGGAATACACCCCAAGTCAATATCAAGGCATAATCCAGGAGTATATAGTGTAACTCAGGAGTAAACATCAAGGAATACTCCCCGAGTCAACATCAAGACATACTCTAGGAGTAAACTTCAAGGAATACCCCCCGAGTCAACATCAAGACATACTCCAGGAGTAAACATCAAGGAATACACCCCCCCCCCCCCCCCCGAGTCAACATCAAGACATACTCCAGGAGTAAACTTCAAGGAATACCCCCTGAGTCAACATCAAGACATACTCCAGGAGTAAACATCAAGGAATACACCCCCCCCCCCCCCCGAGTCAACATAAAGACATACTCCAGGAGAAAACTTCAAGGAATACCCCCCCGAGTCAACATCAAGACATACTCCAGGAGAAAACTTCAAGGAATACCCCCCCGAGTCAACATCAAGACATACTCCAGGAGTAAACATCAAGGAATACTTCCCGAGTCAACATCAAGACATACTCCAGGAGTAAACTTCAAGGAATACCCTCTGAGTCAACATCAAGACATACTCCAGCAGTAAACTTCAAGGAATACCCCATGAGTCAACATCAAGACATACTCCAGGAGTAAACATCAAGGAATACCCCCCGAGTCAACATCAAGACATACTCCAGGAGTAAACTTCAAGGAATAGCCCCTGAGTCAACATCAAGACATACACCAGGAGTAAACATCAAGGAATATCCTCTGAGTCAACATCAAGACATACTCCAGCAGTAAACTTCAAGGAATACCCCATGAGTCAACATCAAGACATACTCCAGGAGTAAACATCAAGGAATACCCCCCGAGTCAACATCAAGACATACACCAGGAGTAAACTTCAAGGAATACCCCCTGAGTCAACATCAAGACATACACCAGGAGTAAACATCAAGGAATACCCCCCGAGTCAACATCAAGACATACTCCAGGAGTAAACAGCGTAACTAAGGAGTAAACATAAAAGTTTACCCTGGGAGAACTCTTGATTTTCTTTGCCATTTCTTCCTCAGGCTTAAACTATTTCACATTCATACCTTACAAAAGGACAGAAATGTACAAATATACATTTTTTTGTAATAAATACCAAGTCTTGTAAAATACAAATGTAAAACACTGCAAACTCTAAATACAAAGTTTTATTAATAAAGTGCTGCAAACTTTAAAAATTTGGTTAGAATGATTTAAGATGTCTTCAGCCTTCATCACCTCTAACAGCAGTTACATCACCTAATATATATGGTTAAATACCACAAGATCTCACTCAAGTCACCTTATGCCTTTAACTTTTACATGGTTAAGATTTTAAAAGCACCAGGGTTTTTCAAGAACTGTCAATTCTTTAAAATTGTGAAAACTTGTTTGAGTTTATTTATATCTGAGTATTCCGAAATGATTTTACATTTTTTATCTACTCTTCTTTAAAAACATCATCAAAACAAATACATATTAGCCACTATTGGGTAAAACAGCTTTTAGCTTTTATACACAAGTCATATCTTCTGACACATTTTTTGTGATGATGATACTGTGAAATGGAACTCAGATCCATCAGCTTATTAAAGCAAAATAAAAAAGGGAAAAAGAAAAAGTATGAGGAAATTATTTTTGTACACTCCTCTTTTCTTCAAATTGAAAATGGGAAAAAAAATGTCCATGTTGCTCTGCCTCAAATACACAAGTTATAAAAACCCTGATGGCAATCACACCATGTATTGAAGCAAAAAAATACCCTTCTCCTTGTCCAAAAAAAACCCTTCTCCTTGAACAAAAAAAACGTTCTCCCTGTACAAATAAAAACACTCTCCCTGTACAAAAAACCCTTCTCCGTGTACAAAAAAAAACTCCCTGTACAAAAAAAAACCCCTCTCCCTGTACAAAAAAACCCTCTCCCTGTACACTGATACTGTATTACTCACTCCTTTTCAGACTTTTTCTTAGGCTTTTCTGGTAACTTTGACCTTTCAATTTCAAAACATCATCACATATAAATCAATACATTCTTTCATGAATGTCATTGTTATAAACACTATGCTAATAAATAGACCACAATACATACCTGTTACATTTTAATACAAGTATAATTTCACACAAAAAATATACATTTTTTTTAATTTGTTATTCATAAAGCAAAGGCCTATTTTAATATTTTTTACATTTCCAACATAGAGATAATATATTATGTATTGCTGTAAAAATATGATATAATCCATTTTTTCAGTTGAGAGATGTAATTTTACAATTGTATCATAAAACAAATACCATTCTATATAAATAAAAAAAATTCAGTGTCAATGAAAAAAAACCAACTCAACCTTTCAGGTAAGATTCTTGAATGTTCAAACACAAATTATAAAGAAAGTAAGATGTTTCACATAAGTACAGATATAAATCTCACAATAAGTATATACAAGTATATTTATATTAGTTTCTTTGTTCAGTCTACCTCTTCCACGACCAATAATGAAGATGATTTTTTCTATATTATACATGAATCGATGATAAAAAAAAAAAAAGATGTACCTTAGTTATATGCACTGGAGACAACTGATCAACACTAATTGTTTAGTATGATGATAACTGCTTCTGTTTCAGCAGGTCATAATTATCATACCCTTTGGGTTGATGCAGACACATGCATTATTCATAACTAACGAAAGTAGCGTTACAACATTACAACAGATAATTTTCAATGATACATATAAAAAGGCACTGACCAGGAAGTTCAAACCAATGATAATATTATCGTCCCTAAACAACACAATATCACCATACTTATTACTGAAAATGTGTAATGTTTAGTATTGACAGATCTACAACATACATGAAACACGAGTAGATAAGCATCAATGTCCTGGGCTCAAAGTGATAGTATAGGTTTATCAAATGTCTAAGAGACAGACAAGCTTACCAACTTACTGGGGCATAAAAACAAAGGAACCAATATCTAGAAACCATTTCATTTTACACCAAAGTTGAGTTTATTCCCTGGATCCCATAAACCCTCGTTGTAAATGGTAACTCTGAACCCTGACACTGGCTTGCGATCACACCTTCCTCACATGTTGACAGATTTATAGTTAAGGCTTATAGAACACTATCTTTTCATCATGATCAGTTTTTGTTAGTATATTGTACTTAAATTTTATATACAACGTTCTTTGTTATCATATTGCAAATGGTTGGTATAAAAACAAAACCAAACAAAAAAAACAAACAAAATAATAAACAGAAAAAAAGAAAAACAAAACAAACAAAAAAACCACAAAAAATAAAGTGAAAAAAAATAAAATGAAATTGCAAAGTGCTATTCCAGATATCATACCAGATATATTTCGATCATGTTATGTTATGAGTATGATTCAATCACCCTTATGACCATGACCTTGTGATCCCACGACCTTATTTATTGTGTTCACAAATGATGACCTTTCACCTTAGCAAAGCAACACCAGTTGTATCACCTTTGATGCCAGACTTACTCTGCTAAAGACTTTTGCACTGTCTCTATGATAGTTTCAGTCTTCATCCCAGCATTAGGTTTATCAAGTTCTGACATTTTATCAGGTGGTGGTGTTTGTTTACCTGCTTGTAACTTTTCAATCTCTGGTGGCTCTGCATTTTTAATTTCGGCTAAATTTTCCCTTTTAAAATCACATATCAAAATAAATGGCAAAAGTGTCAAATTAACAAAATTCTCATTTTTTATTTAAATAAAAAAAATCTGATTGTCTATTAAATGTTTGTATGCAATAATCAAAATGAATCAAGTGATAGCATTGGAAGTTGGACAGAATGGTTATAATCTTTATCTTCATGTAGATTTTAATTGATGATAGGGTTTTTTCTCAAGTATAGTGTTTCATTGATTATTCTAAGACAATAATTGTAAAGACTGAAACCTTATACCTAAAATGGTATATTTGAACATGATGGTTCATTTTTTTCTCTTAGAACCGCCTTTTCCTCAAGATTTATTTACATTTTTTGCTTGGCAGCTTGTTTTAAATCCAGGACAAATTTTAAAATGTAAAAAAATAACTAAACCTTATAAATCCAAGTTGTGTATTATCCATGTTAACCTTTAGTCTAAATTTAACATTCTACATTCATTCCCTTTACAGTGAACAAAGTCAAAGTCTGTCATAATTGATTTTTAATTCAGTGATTTCATTACAATACTTACTCTTTCTCTGATCGGTTGGGTTGTCGCATCATTTTAGTTGGTGACCCTGGGATAAGGAATTCCTTTGAACTGACCGGGGTAGTTGTGAGTGGTCGAATACCATAATCTGGTGTGTGAGGTGGGAAAGTGTCATCCTGTACTGCTGGTGCTGCCTGGCTATCCACTGTGGATGGATTACGCTGTAGGTCCTCCTGACTGGGAACATGGTCAGGAAGTTTCACATTTATCGATGTCTTGCTTGCAACACTTTTGGAGTCTGCACTTCCTGTTGGGGACTGCATGTTTTATCTTCAGGTTTAATTTGTTATCTTCTTTCAAATTTTCATTCCAGACTAGAAAACAAAATATCAAAAATCGTTATGATTTATCTTAGTATTACTATAAAGACACAGACAAAGTACAACTTGTATAAACCAAACTTCATTAAATACCTTAACACACATTAAAGGAAAAGATCTAGGATTTTGCTAAATGGAGCTCAACTGACATTCGGACTTGACAACTACATGTAGGACAGTATGGAAATTATTATAAATAATTTTATGTCAGGAGTCAAACAAAGGTTGCATGTGAAGCTTTGCCTGTACAATGCATTTATTATTATCTTACTAGGCTTCGGTTTTGACCGCAATTAAAACTAAACTTTAAAGCAAATCATCAGTAACACGATGTAACTCTTAGAAATGAATTAGCATATGTTAGATCATGAGTATACGAAAAATGCGTATACTATGTATTCAAAAGTCGTTACTGTTTTAATTGTTGACAAGATGTCGATATGGGTGACATTACGGAAAATAAGACATTTCGTCCCATTTTATTTTTCCTGCAGGACATTTCGGTCCATTTTTCAGTAAGTTAATTATGGTTTATGACGCCGATATCATTCAATTAGTTGTATCATGTCCACGAAATGAAAAGCTCAACATAAACTTACATAGACTGTCATGGAAGATACCATAACACCATGTTTAGTACGACAAAAAGTGACTTTCGACGTGAATCTCGGTAACATAGGTCCGTCTCCAGTGCAAACAAATATGGCGAACTTCCGTAGAAACATATCCCACAAACCACTTCGAATTTCCTGTAAGCATGCGCAAATAAAACATTCCTGGCTCTGTGTTTGAAGTTGACAGTGATGTTTTGGATTCGCAATTGACTGAACCGGCACAATGAGATTGAAGACAAATTTACAAAGGGAACCAAAACATATCCTTTTCTGATAGTCTTAAGATGTTGTCTTTTCGTTTAAAATGCAATTTAGTTTTGATCTCAACTTAGAACTGTCAAAAACTTTGTTTTCGTCTGCACATGCAGGTGTTTTAGCAACTGGGTGACAAACTATTGTTTTGTATTTTTAATTTCCAGTAGTTTCATTGGAAACTACAATAGAATCGGTAGAAAACAGATTTAGTATTTTTTAATTTCAGGAATCAGACGTTCAGTCTTTGATACAGCTATTACACTTCAAAAATAGCAAGAATCGTACCACCACATGTTGCACGATTTTTCATGTATGATTACTGCTCTTTTTGTCGTTAAACGGAGTTATATTTCACATACAATATCATGAAAAATAGGAAGTTGTTATAACACAACCATATTTTGTGGTACTTATATCAAATAGTTGAAGTTTTATGTTTTATAAGATCTTCTCTTTAATTGACATTACCAACGTGTAAAATATGTTCTGAAATAAGGAGAGGCCAATTAAGTTGTCCTGTCATCTTAAAATTTAAATCAGCCTCTTCATTTTTTCTCTTTCTCTTTTTTTATTTCCTTAGGATGGGCCAACATAATATTGACATTGTTAATTCATGGAATATTATAAGCCCATGGTTAATTGTTGAAAATTACTAATTGTTCTCTGCTCCCAGGATATTCCCTACAGTCGGAGAGAATGAACAGTATACTTGTTGTTAATGGAATATTCCCCAACTTCAATGTTACACGTGGTCGCCTTTTGAACATCAACCAAAAGCTATGTAATTATGCACCCATGAAATAGCAATTATTTAATTGAACTATAGACCTTTGATCCTTTTTATGAAAATGCATAATTAGTAAAACTGGCAATGACTCGCTCACATGATGATCAAAAACATCTGGACCCTGATTCAATTAAAAACATTCTTTAACAAGACTTACATACTGAACTGGTCAGTTGTGTTGGATGGACTACACCAGAAGAACTGTTTTCTGGGGCAGATGATCACTTGGTGTTGAAATGGAACCTGAACACAAATGAGACGACAACACTGGTCAAGTTGCCTGATGAAGTGTTTCCCACAGATATGCACTGGTTTCCAAAGGCTGCTGGAGGAGGCAAAAAGGCAGTATCTGACCTGTTTGTTCTGACATCAACAGATGGTAATTTTCAAGTTTTCAGCTTTAGGATCAATACAGTATTGATGTTTAAACAACACAGATTACTTATGAACATGCTTGATGTACATAAATGATTATTCTGCTTTATGTTGTTTGAATACAAATGAACGTATCTCAGTTTCGTATGGATTTAATGCACATCCAAAAACTGTCAAATTATCCTTTGAACAGACATTGTGATGTCCATTGTCCATTTTTGACATGTTATTAAATCCTTCTTTGGTATTATCAAAATTTTGATCCAAGTTATGTAATCCAAATTGGCCAAGATTTCAAGCTAGTCTTCTGAATGAAGATGATTATCTTGTCCTAGTTATTTTATGACTTTAATAATCATCACTGATTGGATGTTAGATTTAAAAATTATACTTTACAGTCAGGGACACCATTTTGATCACTTCTGTGTTGTAATCCAGTAAGTTAAATGTCTTCATGATTTATCAAAAATCAATGTACATTTATCTCATATCCAGAAACATTTTAATTTGAACAGGAAAGTTTCACCTAATCAGTAAGACTGGCCGCGTTGAGAAAAGTGTGGAAGCACATAAAGGTGCTGTGCTGGCAGGGAGATGGAGCTTTGATGGGTCAGCCTTTGTTACAGGTACTATATACAGTGTCACATTTCCTATACTTAGTGTGATTGTATGATGCTGCAATACCATGTTAACTAATTTTTTATTTCCTTAGAAGCTACATGCTTGTAATCAGTGCAGAAAATCCTATTACAGTATATAATGAAATTAATTTGTTATTGACATGAAAAAACATACGATGCGATAAGAATTGGGGAAAAGTTTAACTTGTATTAGAAGTTTTACCTCTTTCATTGCCAGCGGGTGAAGATGGTGCTGTAAAGATCTGGTCTAGAAGCGGAATGCTGAGATCAACACTCACACAGAACAGTGAGTCACTTAGTACTACATAATGTCTAGACAAGTGTCTTTATGCACAGCTTCAATATTATTACTTTGATTCCTGTTTCAATAGGCAGTAAAATCCTGAATAGATCACTGTTAAAATCTTCTGTTTAGTAAAAATTTAACAAAAGTTAATTGCATTACTTGTTACAGAACTCAGAAGTTAACCTGAATTAATCTGAACCATTAGTACTAGTTGAGCTACTTCAACAAATTATTTTGAAAACTGTCCAATGATTTTCTATTTAATATGATATTTTCAAGTGTCATTTAACATTACATTATAAAATTAAGTGTGTTGGTTTTCTATCCTTCGTTTGTAATTTATATTTTTAACTTTCTGTGACAGGTATGTCTGTATATGGTGTTGCATGGGGACCAGATTCAGACTCTGTGCTTTTTACTAACGGCAAACAGCTGGTCATCAAATCTATGCAAGCCAATGCTAAGCCAACAATGGTATGACTAATCAGAATTAATGACAAGTGTTAGGTGTTAATGTGATGAATAATGTCAAATTGCATATTGGTATCATATAAAGAGTTATATGTTGAACAAAATGCAGTGAAGAGACAAATATTTATTTTTAGATTTGTTGATGTCTTGGATATTTTCATCCTTTTTGAGATACCTACTGTTGTCTTAGGGCTAAATAAAGAATGGATAATGATAGAAATGTAGGGCTGAAGATTATATCCCGACATAGAAAAAATGATCTCTGGGATCTGATACTCTTTAGACTGTGTTATCATTGTAACTGACATTGAAGCTAATCAGCTTATACAAAATATATAAGTGAGATATTTGACATCAATACTTGGCACTATAACAATTACAGTTTCTAGTTCACAGACTTTATGTGTCATGTACTTTGTATACCCGGTACATTTTATGGTAATCTACATTTTTATTTAAGTAGGGTTTATATTTTCAACTATAAAAGCTGTCTTGATTTGTTATAGTGGCGAGCCCATGATGGAGTGATTCTGGTGGTGGACTGGAATCCTGTCAATAATCTTATCATATCAGGGGCAGAGGATTGTCGCTACAAGGTGGGTGACATCAGCTTCATCTTTTAGAAACACAGAAATACATCTGTAAAGTGGAAAGTAACAGCTTTATATTAACATGTTTCTTGAACCTGTTGAGGACATATGTCTGTCACACTACCAAATGTTAAAGAAGAATTCATATCGAACTTGTACAATTTACATCAGTTTTTACTGGAAATTAAAATTATAATGCATATGTTATCTGCAAAATATTTATGATTTATAATAGAAAATAGTGGAAGAGATAAAAGAAATTTGATAATGTTTACAAGGTTTGGAAACTTTGATTATTTTAACAGGTTTGGGATACTTATGGTCGTGTGATGTACAACAGTTTCCAGCATGACTACCCAATTACATCCTTAGCTTGGACACCAGATGGAGAACTTTTTGCTGTTGGCTCCTTCAACACTCTTAGATTATGTGACCAGGCTGGGGTAGGTAGAAGGCAATTAGTCTGTAGTCAGGATATAAAACAGGTCTAGTAAAAGTCGCCTCTATAGTCGTAAACTAATTCTGAAATATTTGCTAGAAAACAGCTTCTTTGAAATATTTGTTGAACTGTTAAAAATAAGATACTGTTATTAAGTATAAGAGGAGCCAGCTGTTTATTCTGACACATGTGACACAGTTAGTAATGATCGGATAAGACAAGTTGACAAAATATGCAGATAACATCTTTTCTGGTAGTTTTGTGTAGAAATGAGATTACAGTGTTATGGTGGATTTGAAAAGTTGATTTTCAGACATGTTCCCATGTAACTTTGCCTTTTTTGTTATCAGTGGTCGTATGCCTTAGAGAAGCCTAATACAGGCAGTCTGTTCAAGCTTTCATGGTCAAGTGATGGCACCCAAGTGGCTGGATCTGGAGGGAACGGTCAGGTCCTCATAGCACATGTCATAGAGAAGTAGGTATCATCTGTAACATCTTGTCAGAGCTGATAATCTGTCAACTGAAGTAGATTTAACTAACATTCATTGTGATGGAGTTATAAATCTAATTTTGCAGCCTTAGCTATATTTAGTACTATAAATCAGTTTTTAGGCTGAATGATTTGAGATTCAAGTTTTTATTGAAAGTAACAAGTACAAAATGTCCTAAAACCAGAATGATTTAAAAATTTTATCTTTCAAATTTGTTTGAAAAATGTCAGTTTTGCAGTTATTTCATTTAAGTGTTTAAAATACACATCTTTTTGTGGATTTTGAATTTTAGAATTCTTTGGCAACTCCAGCTTATGGTGATTTCCAGGATGTTTATTAATTGTTTTGAAGTTCAAGTTAGCTTAGATATTACTTACAAGGCACTACAGCATGATGTTTATTTTCTTTACAGACGTTTGGAGTGGAAGAATTTTGAGGCATCAGTGACGGGGAGTAAACAAGTACATGTCAGAAATGTAATGAATGATGCAGTAGAATCTCTGGACTTCCGTGATAGAATCATCAAACTGTCGCTGTCATTCAATCACTTAGTCGTGGCGACGTCCACACAATGTTACATATACAGGTGGGTATGTTTCCAAAATAACCTTGTTGTGTCGGAGTTGATGTAATGTAGATAAGTCACATAATTTCTATAAAGGACAGAGAACTCTCACTCTGACAAATAACTCAACAAGTATATTCAATTCCATTTTTTTTGTTGGGAAATAAGTTTGTCTCCGCTTTTTTGTAAAGTGTTTGGTAGCTAGAAGTAGAGAACTTGAACTTGAAAAGGGATGCATTTGTAAGAGAAACTTAATTAAAGCTACTAAGAAGGAGATAAAATAACATTAAATGTATAATGGACTACCATTTTGATGCAGAATCTAACAGATTTTTGTCTTGTTTTATTGTGTTAGTGTAAAGAATTGGAACACACCAATGATATTTGACCTTAAGGAAGGCAATGTGTCACTGATTTTACAGTCAGACAAGTGAGTACACTACATGATTCGTAAAGATGTTTTTTTTTATTTAGTTGAGAGTTTTAGATGCTTGAAATAGATCTTTTCTGAACAATTGTTAGCACTTCCCACAACCTTGTAAACAAGGTTATCCAATATGTTGCATATTCTGTATTCATCAGTGGAATAATTAATTATATCTACCAAATTAGCCTTTACAGACATATGAAAGATTTTATGAATGAAAACTTGCCCTTGTAAAGCAAAAATAAAACCTGCCATTCTGGTAAAAAGATCTACCAAACTTCACAACTAATTCAGAAACTATTTTGATTCTACCCATAGGTATGTTCCTGGTTACATATTACATTCTATAATGTATGGAACATCAGTGTTCCATCAAAATAACAACCTTCATATTTTTTCCATCAACTCAGACAATTTTTTTTAAAAAAGTCTTTGATTTCGCTTACCTACTTATGATTTGATGTAAATTATCATTAAAACTCTATGCTAAGTAATGGTAAATATTGCCTTATTTTCTGTACAGGCATTTCCTGCTGGTGGACAATGCAGGCATTTATGTCTACTCGTATGATGGGCGACTTGTGTGTTCACCTCGGTACACGGGCATGCGAGCAGACATCCTTAATTACCAGACAGTCTCAATCAGTAATGACACAATAGCCATACGAGACAAGGCTGACGAAAAAGGTAGGGAAGGGATCAAAGGCATTGTGCATTCATGAAAAATAATCATTTCTGAACTGAAGATGAAATTAAATCTTGATATTAGAAATAGAAGATCAGAGTTGTATAAATTTTAGAGACGGTACTATATATGACTTAACGATTAAAGTAAACAATAATCATAATTTGTTGGGTTAATTTTCTTTAATTGCCATGAAATCTTGTGGTTGATACTGAGTTTACTTTAATTTCAGTGATATATGTATTTGATGCTCAAAACGGAAAACCTCTTGGAGATGGCAAACCAATAACTCACAAGGTAGGATTCGAAATTTTTAGATCATCTAAGACAAAGTCTCATGGTGACCTATTGCGATCACTTTGGCGTCGTGCATCAGTGTCCCTTAACAATTTAACATTTTTCTCAAAAACCCCAGAACCAATTTCAATGAAATTTCCCTGGCCTGTGATGAACCATAATAGCTAATGATACAGACCCCACCCCACAGGGCCTGAAGGATGACAGTTTGATGGTATGCCCATATTGATCCTATCTAACCCTCGCTCACTGATGGATAGAGACAAAAGGGGGCAAATTGACTCAGATTTTAACGATCTTTTCATCAACACCCAGATATGGTGGAAGCAAATTGTCTCTATGGATGGAAGCATCTATATGAGCAAAATAGTTTTTGAGCATAATTTGTAAAATTCCATTGGAAATATAGTTGAAACTCATTTCAACATCGCTTGAGTCAAAATTCCATTTGAGGCAAAATTATTTCAAGTTCCGATTATTTCCCTACTATTTCTGTGTAATTTTAGTTTGGATGACTCAAATTTCAGTGCTAAAATATTTACAATAACAGAGTTTATAACATAAAAGTTATGTTTTAAATTACAGAATAAACCATAGGAAAAGCATCAAAGACGTTACGGCTTGGACGACTTTATAATTAATAAAAAAACATTAAACACTGCACACACATCTTGCTTATTGAAGTCCTGTCATTCTACCTTGAAACAACTTGCCTGTCTCTCCAAACATATAAACATTTACAGCATTCACATGCGTGTAATCAGTTGATAACGAGTATGTATTGTTTGTAGCTAGAGGTGATGGAGATTGCCCTGGACCAGTGTGGACCAGCCACAGAACGACGTCTAGCCATCATCGACAAAAATCGAGACTTGTATCTCACCCCTGTTAGAGTGTTTGGTACGGAACGAAAGAGCAACAAATTAGGTAGGTTGAGCTAGCGTCCATATTGTTAACAGGAAACCTTATTGGTAGTAATATTACCGGGAGTTTTTAAAAGGGTTTCAATAGATGACAATGTATCAGAATAGGAAGGTCTCATTGTATTGACAATGAACTGTGTATTTATTCTAACAATTTGAATACTTAGGTAATATGATCCAGTCATTAGCATGGAATGATGCCTCCAACATGCTGGCAGCACTGGCTGATGGGAAGTTTACTGTATGGTATTACCCGAACACCATCTACGTTGACAGAGATTTGGCTTCTAAAACCATCTTTGAAAAAGAGGCAAGGTAATGTTGCTCTATGGTTTCGTAATGAAAAAGAAACAGTATTGTTTTTCATGAAAAAATCAGGCAATTCAATGAAATTATCAGCCTTAACTCTGAAGTAAACAAATTTGAAATGTAATGAAATTTTGAATCCACAGCATTTGTGTTTAACTCCTGTTATACTTCTAAATTGAGATACAAACATCTGTTTTGCAGCGAGTTTGGCAAGAATCCTCAGCTGATTCAGTTCAATGGTAATCATGTGATCATTCGACGAGCAGAAGGGTCGATTGTCAGCACGTCCATATCTCCTCACCCCTGTATACTTCACTCCTATGTACAGTCAGGTCGCTGGGGAGATGCAGTGCGGCTCTGTCGTTTTGTCAAGGTAAGGCTGATCAGGCTAGAATAAAATGTAAATATCCCTTTTATTTTCATAAACTTCTGGTAATAAATTCTACTTATATAGAGCAAATTATTGATGTATCTCCAGGTATGTTGTAAACATTAGAAAATTATAGCAGAACTGTGTTCAGCTCTGAGGTGACCTTGTGAATATGATATTTTTCTCATTAAATTGTTTTTCCAATTTCTAGGATGAGAATTTGTGGTCATGTCTGGCTGCTATGTCAGCATATGCTAAAGAACTGAACACTGCAGAGATAGCCTATGCTGCTATCAAAGAGGTGAGCTAGTCTGTTAGTTATTTCTTACATATATTGTGAAATATCACAACTTTATGTGAATATGTTGGCATTTAAGTATAAATTTATTCATATTGGTATAATACTCAGTGATAGAAAATATTGTAAATTACTTCATTTTAGTGAGATTTTGATTTAATTTATCAAATTTGATCACAAACACTAAATTTTAACAAATAATTTCCAGTGCATTTCACTTTCGGGGAATAAAAAGTATCATTCGATTCATCAATTCAAAAATTAAGACATGAAAGAGCAGATGTAGCTCATGGGATAATTATCAGTGGTAATACAGTTGTTTACAGAAATAAAAGTTGGTCTAGTTTCCTACAATCTGGCATCAAGACATTTATTGGCTTTTGAGCCATAAATTTGATATTTTCATGTCTAGTATCTACCATTTATATACTAAAACCAGAACTTTAATATTTCATGGATGTCAGTTTAGTTCCATTTATGAAAATTACTGATATACATTCAATGTGCCTTAAAGTATATTTACATTCAATATGCCTTAAAGTATACTTACATTCAATGTGCCTTAAAGCGTTGGCGAATATTAATTTTTGCATCACAACATTGACCTCATCACAGTGTAGTTATACTCTCAAGAAGAAAACACTACACTATCTCTAATAGTCCTGAACTAAATATGAAAAATAGTACTTGGAAGAATTGAAATAATAATTCTGAAAACAATTTTGTTAAATGATGCATGAGATATGTTACAAATCTTATATTGTTATGACCTTATGAAAATGATAAAAGTAATTTATTAATCTACCATATTGTAAAAATAAATTGTTCTGATTTTGGTTTTTCATAATGAAATAGTATCTGTAGGTGTTTAGGCATGCCTCATTACAAGTTTAGTCATCAGCTTTGTATGGTAGACATCATAAGGTATTATTCATTGATGATGTTTCATCATATTTTTAAGGCTGAGAAAGTGCAGTTTATTGTGAACATCAAGGATATTCCAGTAAAGGAAGCAAGGAATGCAGAGATGGCGTTATTGTGTGGTAACCAACAAGACGCAGAGGCTATCCTTCTACAAGCAGGGCTTATCTTTAGGGCCATTATGCTTAACATCCAGCTGTACAACTGGGATAGGTAAGTGATACAACAGGAGCTAAGAAAAATTCAGTTTAGCATTTCTTACGGGATTACTTTCAATAGATTAGCAGAATGGTATTATCTAGACCTCTGATGAGAACCAGGTTAGCTTGGTGATGAAAGACAATATTTTTCAAATTAAGATGTGGTAAGAAAGTCTTACTTATGGCTGAAAATGACATGAGAAGAAAGAGTTACCAAGTATAATTGAGGGAGAACAAAGTTTGTCATTCTGAGGCTAAGATTTTGTAACATCCAAGTTTTTGCAGCCAGAACTTTAGTTGGTGGTTTAGATACAGAATACCTCTACGGTTTAAAAACAGATCTGATATACCTCTGTCTCAGGTACAGGATTTTATTAAACGTCCTTATATTGGGTATTATTGTCTGATTGTCTATACATCCAGAATTAGTAGTCCTCCAGTACAGCTGGAAATGTCAGCTATCACAGTTGTTTTAGGTATTACAATTGTCTCTTGTTAGATGTTAGCCTGCTGCTAGGCTCTCTACATCCAAGTCTTCAAGTATTTCTACTGGTGATGGTTGGAAATATATTGGACCTAGTGTATTTGATCTACCTATAAATATATATTGAACATTTTCAAGGAAAAATTGATTTAGCTTTTGATCTGGTGTGAAATAAAAATTGCTTTTGCGATGTTATTTGAGATATTTCAGTGATGGTAGTGATGAAGTATTGAGATATTTCAGTGATAATAGTGATGAAGTATTGAGATATTTCAGTGATGATAGTGATGAAGTATTGAGATATATCAGTGATGATAGTGATGAAGTATTGAGATACATCAGTGATGATAGTGATGAAGTATTGAGATATTTCAGTGATGATAGTGATGAAGTATTGAGATATATCAGTGATGATAGTGATGAAGTATTGAGATATATCAGTGATGATAGTGATGAAGTATTGAGATATTTCAGTGATGATAGTGATGAAGTATTGAGATATATCAGTGATGATAGTGATGAAGTATTGAGATATATCAGTGATGATAGTGATGAAGTATTGAGATATTTCAGTGATGATAGTGATGAAGTATTGAGATATTTCAGTGATGATAGTGATGAAGTATTGAGATATATCAGTGATGATAGTGATGAAGTGTTGAGATATATCAGTGATGATAGTGATGAAGTGTTGAGATATATCAGTGATGATAGTGATGAAGTGTTGAGATATATCAGTGATGATAGTGATGAAGTATTGAGATATATCAGTGATGATAGTGATGAAGTATTGAGATATTTCAGTGATGATAGTGATGAAGTATTGAGATATTTCAGTGATGATAGTGATGAAGTATTGAGATACATCAGTGATGATAGTGATGAAGTATTGAGATACATCAGTGATGATAGTGATGAAGTATTGAGATACTTCAGTGATGATAGTGATGAAGTATTGAGATATACCGGTGATGGTAGTGATGAAGTATTGAGATATATCGGTGATGATAGTGATGAAGTATTGAGATATATCGGTGATGATAGTGATGAAGTATTGAGATATATCTGTGATGATAGTGATGAAGTATTGAGATATATCGGTGATGATAGTGATGAAGTATTGAGATATATCGGTGATGATAGTGATGAAGTATTGAGATATATCGGTGATGATAGTGATGAAGTATTGAGATATATCGGTGATGATAGTGATGAAGTATTGAGATATATCGGTGATGATAGTGATGAAGTATTGAGATATATCGGTGATGATAGTGATGAAGTATTGAGATATATCGGTGATGATAGTGATGAAGTATTGAGATATATCGGTGATGATAGTGATGAAGTATTGAGATATATCAGTGATGATAGTGATGAAGTATTGAGATATATCCGTGATGATAGTGATGAAGTATTGAGATATATCCGTGATGATAGTGATGAAGTATTGAGATATATCCGTGATGATAGTGATGAAGTATTGAGATATGTCAGTGATGATAGTGATGAAGTATTGAGATATGTCAGTGATGATAGTGATGAAGTATTGAGATATGTCAGTGATGATAGTGATGAAGTATTGAGATATGTCAGTGATGATAGTGATGAAGTATTGAGATATATCAGTGATGATAGTGATGAAGTATTGAGATATATCAGTGATGGTAGTGATGAAGTATTGAGATATATCAGTGATGATAGTGATGAAGTATTGAGATATATCAGTGATGATAGTGATGAAGTATTGAGATATATCAGTGATGGTAGTGATGAAGTATTGAGATATATCAGTGATGATAGTGATGAAGTATTGAGATATATCAGTGATGATAATGATGAAGCACTGTTTTATTTAAAGATTATCTTTCTTTTATACAGGGCTTTAGAGTTGGCAGTAAAGCATAAAACACATGTAGATACTGTACTAGGATACAGACAGAAATACCTCGTCAGGTTTGAAAAGAAAGAAAACAACAAACGCTATCTACAGTATATGGAAGGGGTGAGTTTTTAATTTCAGTTCAGTGAATGAGCTACAATGATTAGTTATATAGTGTTACTAGGGGATGGACTGTATATTTGCACTTTGCCAATCAATGTGCACTTTCTCTTGTACAATTGGCTGTAGCTAGCTAATACCTTTCAGGATTGCTTATTGACCTTGTTAAAATTACATGTGCAGCATACAGTATGTGTGCTTTGTTCCTTTGTTCATATAGTGATTCAAATTTGAAGAACCCAAAGAATTGTGTACAATATCGACCTTTTGAAACCTCACATTTTTCTTGTCCAAAATTTCTTGATTTAGTGTCTCTAGGGGTTAAAGCAACAACATTACAATATGTTATTGGTTTTATCAACAGATTGAGGTGGACTGGGAGAAAATTGAGGCTAAAATGGACATGGAATACCAGAAGGAAAGAGAAAGGCCAACAGTTACATCCACAGCTGGGTCAGCTAAGCAACGACAGCCACGCCATGAAACATAGAAATAATTATTTTAGTTCAAACCTTACACTTGTGACACAGAACAATGTTTATGGCTTAAGCATTATAGACGATGAAACAGCATCAATTTCCAATTTTAAGAAAAGAAAAATATCATCAATTTATATTATTTTAAAGTTCATGGAAATAAATTGTATTCTTTTTCGAGGACTGGAAATTAGCTGAAATAGTATCTCAATATTGATAAATACATGAAAAACTTCAATATTTATTAAGTTCTTTATCAGCTTTTTGGCTGTTGAGTCCAGATACACATCAAGTATATTTTTGTAGCATTTCTATCTTTGCCAAGGTTTTTCCTAACTCTAAAGTCACTTAGATGGTGTGAACACTGCCAGGGAAGGGAGATGGAAATGCTGATGTTCCTGCATTGGTGTTTTAATGTTTCATGATCAGTGATACAATAAACTGATATATCCAGTAGTAGAAAGGATCTGTGAACTTGGTAATGTTATCTATGTCCATCCTTTTCCATTCTGAATTAATGTCATTTAGTGTGCAAAATCAATCTTTTAGGAATTTTCAAGACAGAAAGATAAATAGCTAGAATATCTTTGATGAAATTGTATTTCAGGGTTCCAAGGTCAAGGTCAACATAACTTTCGCATTTCGTTTTCTTTTCCTGAAATTACGAAAGAATGCTTTGGCTTGAGATTAAAACATGCAATGGATGAGTGTTCAAGAAAGGTTGTGTATTGTTTTAGTAGTCATAAAGAACTGGAGCCCTGTAGGGCATGAGACTTGTAATAATTGGTATTATTATTTATTTGAATATTTCTAGAAATTGTAACTTTTCTCAAATTGGTCTTTTCTGGAAGTATTTTTATCTTAATATATGAAATATGTAATTGGTTCACAACAAAACACCATTATAGTGTAGAACTCCGTCCTTTGTTTTAGATATTGAAACATTTTGTGAATCTTTTCCTATGCAAATGTTACTGTATATGTATGACATGGCACCTCTATTTATATGAAGTCTGGTTACATATTAATTCATTTGTTTGACTGTTAGTGATTTCATTTGTTAATTATACATAGTCATATCAGAAAAAATTTTCAAATTCAGTACTGTATGTACTTGTACTTTGTGTGTGGAAGTTGTTGTTAGTGGCAGAATAATACTCCATTTTTCTGGAGTAGAGCAGAATCTACTTTAGTAGCAGTGTGCATCAAGTGGTTTCATACGACCTTAAGATCATGCCATGAGTTTGAAAATGTTCAAATTCAAATTTTACATACTGTAATAGAAAATTAAGTATTCGGGTCAGTAGTAATGTATCAGAATGAATTCAGAGTCTGGGGTTTGTGTGCCACAAATCATCCTCTGTCATATAGGCCTGAAAAAAATCTGCAGTCGAAAAAAAGAAGGGATTTTATAATGTGTAGGCACTTATTCAAAGAAGTGTTTGTTTCAAAGATTTTTTTTATCGTGTACTGTGATAACTTCTTTTGTTAAGTGCTGTCAGATACAAAAGCGTGTGAATCATGTATATATATATAGTATTTGGTTGTGAATGTTTAGGTGATGACTTTCAATTTCTGTATGAAAGAAACAGGATCAAGAATTCAATACATTCCGTCCACTGATATAATTTGAACACATAGAAAATATACGCCTTTGTTGGAACTGGGTACATTCTGTAGATAAACCTTGTTCATCAGGATATTTATCATTATGTACAATCTGCAATGGTAATGAAAACCAAATTTCCACAAAAATGTTGAGCAAGTATTTCTGTTTTTTTTTTTTTTTTCCCCAGTGTTATTTGACATCCAAACAAGAGTAGGTAATTATATGTACCCTTCAATGACTCTTCACTGGATATTTTTTAATGATGACAAGGTTTTACTGTAGTTCTGAGAACCTCTGTTTGTCATGATAACAAGCTGTTTAATATGTAAGTGAACATTAATTATTTTGTGAACAATATAAAAATGACATTAAAATATTTTTAATTAAAAAAGAAATAAACACATTTGTTTGTATTTTTTGTGACTTGTTTCTTCTTTAATTTATATCATCTGTGTTTACAATAGCTATACATTCTTGTCCTGTATTTTCAGGTCAGAATTACTTTAATCTATATCATCTGTGTTGTTTACAATAGCTATACATTCTTGTCCTGTATTTTCAGGTCAGAATTACTTTAATCTATATCATCTGTGTTGTTTACAATAGCTATACATTCTTGTCCTGTATTTTCAGGTCAGAATTACTTTAATTTATATCATCTGTGTTTACAATAGCTATACATTCTTGTCCTGTATTTTCAGGTCAGAATTACTTTCTATCCAGCAAACTGTACAGAGAATATGTGTACTGAGATGAGATGTTTAAAAACTATCTACCACTCTTAATTTTTTTTTTTTTTTTTTTTGTAATTAAATTTTTTTATCGTAAATTTTAGTACGTTATTAAAATAAAAGATTGGCTTCATTGAGGAAATGATGTTCTATTGTATCAACATTCTATTATTCTAATCTCAATCAATCTTGATCAGTATTTAAAGGTGCAAAACTAAGATTTATTTGTCAATATTGAACATAAAGGTTGTATGAAGAAGAATGGTCTTTGAGACAGTCAGCTGGTGGGCAGTTCAAATCTTAGGTTGCCTCCTGTCTTTAAACAATTCTTATTGCTATTTATAGAGCAGCATTGGATGGACCAGTTCTCCTTAATACTTAAATGTGCATTTTCTCTTTATGTACTGATCTGAGAAACAAAATTTATGTCCATTTTGGATTTTGACATTTCTAGTTTATCTCTCTTTAGAAGAAATGAAATGAATCATTCTTTAATTTCATGTGTACACTCCCCTTGGCCCCTAGTTATACATTATCTATTTTGTTACTGATCAGAAAATGGCCAGTAGGCAAGCATCTTTGGTAAAAAGTTATAATACTTGATGGATTAATATGGCTGACAGGTCGCCATTTTGGAATTTGACATTTAAAGACTGCTATTGCTATTCATTGATAACGCAGTATGAATCATTCTTAGATTTCACGGTTGGTTTCTCTTCATCCATACTTACATATCATCCATTTCGAAACTGATCAGAAAGTAAAATAGACAACAAGTAGCTATATGTATTGTATCATATATAGGGTCCCCTTAGTCTCTAGATGTGCATTGTCTATTTTTAGAGTAGATTAGAAAATCAAAATGGACCAACGGTGACCATTCTTGATCTTATATCTTAGTTTTACAAGGATGCTCCCTCAGGTGAACTATCGCTGGTTTTATTAAGTCAGGATGATCTATAACCAATATTATTTGTCTGTCACTGTCTGCTGTCGACTGTGGTAAACTTTCTACTCAAATGACTTGTTCTCAATAACCAAAAGGTCAAGAGTGCTAACATTGGGCCTGTAGCATGCTGGGATGAAAGGATTACAAGATTTTTAGGTCGCCTAAGCCGAAGGCTCATGGTGACCTATTGCCATCATGATTTGTCTGTTGTCGTGCGTTGTTAACTTTTCACATATTCGACTTCTTCTCAAGAACAATCAGATGGATTTTGACCAAACTTGGCACAAAGCATCCCCATGGGAAGCCGCTTCAAGTTTGTGAAGAAAAGGGGCATGGCACCAATAGGGGCCCCAGGAGGGGGGAAAAGGGGGTAAAATTAGGTAAATCTTTAAAAATCTTCTTCTCATGAATCAACTGTCAGATTAAGTTCCTATTTGATGTTTAGGGTCCTTATGGCATGGTCTACAAAGTTTGTGAATGAAAAAAAATCGGATCAAAAACGGCCCCACTAGGGGGCGCTCAAAAGGGTCAAAAATTCAACTTTGACCGATTTCAACCAAATTTGGTAGACAGTATCCCTTAGTGAAGGACATATGAAATTATGTTGAAAAAAGTGATAATGTCCCCTTTGGGGCCCATAAGCGGTGTAAAAGGGGCCATATGTAAAACCTTCATTAAATGACTACTTCTCAAGAACCAGTGAATGGATTTTGACCAAACTTGGCACAAAGCATCCCCATGGGAAGCCGCTTCAGGTTTGCAAAGAAAAAGGGTGTGGCCCCAATAGGGGGGAAAAGGGGGTAAAATTAGGTAAACCTTTAAAAATCTTCTTCTCATGAACCAACTGTCAGATTAAATTCATATTTGATATTTAGGGTCCTTATGGCATGGTCTACAAAGTTTGCGAATGAAAAAAAATCTGGTCAAAAACGGCCCCACTAAGGGGCACTCAAAAGGGTCAAAAATTCAACTTTGACCGATTTCAACCAAATTTGGTAGACAGTATCCCTTAGAGAAGGACATATGAAATTATGTTGAAAAAAGTGATAATGTCCCCTTTGGGGCCCATAAACGGTGTAAAAGGGGCCTTATGTAAAACCTTCATTAAATGACTACTTCTCAAGAACCAGTGGATGGATTTTGACCAAACTTGGCACAAAGCATTCCCCATGGGAAGCCGCTTCAAGTTTACGAAGAAACTGGGCGTGGCCCTAATAGGGGCCCCAGGAGGGGGAAAAAGGGGAAACTTGATACGAATGTTCTACACAAGTCCTGGCAAGTGTTTTAACTTTTTTGGGGCGATTCAAAATCCAAGATGGCCACCCTGACCTCTGTTTGGCTAAGACATTATGGACTTCCTCTCAATAACCATTTGGTGGGTCATGTTCAAACTTGGTACAGATGTTTTACACATGGTTCTGCACAAGTGTTGTTACATTTTTGCAACATTTTAAAATCCCTAGATTATTGACATATATTCCTCAGGTGACCGTTCAGGCCCCTTGGGCCTCTTGTTAAAATTAATGACCTTGACCTACTTTCAAACTCACAGGAGTGCGATGTATTGAAAATTTTAAACAACCACTTCTTAATAACCTTAAGGCCAAGGGTTCTGATACTGGATCAGTGAATGCTGGGATGAAGGGCTACCAAGTTTGTTACACTGAATGACCTTGACCCATTTTCAAGGTCACGGGGGATGCATGTGTACAAATTTTCAAATGATTTCTCAATAACCAAAAGACTCATAGAGCTGATATTTGGCCTGTTGCATGACTCTTTATCAAGGTCACAGGTATCGAATATGACAAGATCATTAAAAAGTTCTTCTAACTAATTAAAATGCATAGGGTGCTTATATTCGGCCTGTAGCATGCTGGGGTGATATTGTGATTGACCTTTTTCTGTTTTTAAAGTGTTACAATCATCAAACGACTTCTCAATGATAGAATGGATAAGGCTTTTGATATCGGTTCCTTAACGTAAGTGGATGTAAGGCTACCAATTTTAAAGTTCTCTTTGGTAAAATGCGTCGAGAGTTTTTCCAACAAACATAAGTCCGGAGTGATTACATTTGTGTATATAAAGAATACGATTTCGAGTTTGCAGAACATGTTTTTATGAACCAATAATGTTGTCTTTGGAAGATGTAGAGTAGTTGAGCATTTTTCAGACCTATTTGACCTTTTGCATATATTGGTCTTTATAGCGAGATGACCGTTAAGGCACGTGGACCTCTTGTTTTTTGACTAGTTCATCAGTTGGTCGGTTGCTAGGTGGCCGTTTAGGACGAGGACACTTTCATTCAAACTTGTAATTAATGTGCCAGTCAACAAAACGCATTTATATATGTAACAGTAAAAGTAGACAAGGGTGGAAAAGATCAAACTTTAAAAGATCATACGATTGTGGATACCGATATTCTTCTGTGATTTCCTGAAACAAACATGTTTACGGTCAATCTTTTACAAGATATTCGGATCGTCATTTATTTCTGATCTTTAGGTGTAACTTGTGACATTGAGACTGAGAAATACATACTTGGTTTTCATTTTGAATTTCAAGCTGTTACTTTGTACAGAGACGTATACGCCTCTGCTTTGTATGAACTTGATGAGCGGCCTTCACTTAGAGTCTTAATAACCATAATCAAAAGGCAAGTTTGAAAACTATTGGGACATTCTCTAAAAGTGGTTTGTTTGCTTATCATGTAGTTTAAACACACGTAAGCTAAAAGGTGCAACACCGAGAATTAATTAGTTAAAAAATAACTTCTATTCACACATTTTGTCAAATCATATATCCGGTATACATCGAGTAAATCACATTTCTTCAACATCATTAAAATGTTCTCCTTAGTGTCAGTTAAGTGTTCGTCTTACATTTGAAGAAATACGACTTTCGAGTGTGTAATAACAGCTGGGTCCTGTACCGGTTTGACGTCACCGACAATGGGGGTCAGGATTTTGTGCCAAGTACATCAATATGACTACTTTAAAAGGTTATGTCAGTTTCAAGGAGAAACTCTACAATCATCCGTATTAAATATATTTAACTATTGGCTGCGGTCTCGGTCTAATGGAACTTTAGACAAAGATTTTTATTGTTAGCTTTCCCTACTTCACTCCATATCGATACTTGACCCTATCCATTGTTCAAAGATGACCTTTCTCCAAAATACACACTACTTGTCTAATGGTGTATCAATCATAGACATAAGGACTCTGTTGGTTATGCTAATGAAAGTTTTTAATTCATACTGGAATATCATGTGATTTTGATAATACCTCTTCTTGGTTTTAATAGAAATGCAAAGGTTAGCAATTGATTGCTACCAACGCTCCAACTTGACCTTTGACCTCAACACGATATGGTGTGTATACCACGCAAAATTTCAATAATTTTTTTTATGACTTTAATATTTCAGCTTGCGGCTTATGCGTGCATATGTACAGTGCATAAGCAGCTGATTACAATACATTCACACAAGCACGCATATCATTATAAATATCATTATACGTGCATATATACAGTGCATAAACAGCTGATTAAAATGCATTCACACAAGCACGCATATCATTATAAATATCATTATACGTGCATATATACAGTGCATAAACAGCTGATTAAAATGCATTCACACAAGCACGTATCCACCCAGTGTAGATAGAGACCTTCTACATACGTTGGTTTGTTATGTCACTTAAACTGTATATCATATTATTGTATCACATGACT